TAAAAAGTATTTGAAGTCTCTCTACTAAAAATAATTTGACAGCCTTGCCTCTTGATTTCTCTCCACATCCAGTTCTTGACATTTTTTTATCCTGTGGCAAATATTTTTAAGCCCCTGTTCATGTACCTCTTAAAATAATTGTCTCCATGTAATATGCCAGATGTTTCTGTGGAGGTCTCTCATGTAGACAGTCCTGAGACTGGCTGAAGCCTGTGTTTGGGAGAAGGGGAGTAAATTCACTGCATTGTTCTCATTTAGCATTTGAGTATTTTCTTCAGGTTTTCCTGCCCTTTGAGAATAATTTTATTGGGTTTTTTTTTCTCTTTCTGGAAGAAGATTAAGAGTGGGAGTCAGAACCTGTAGTTTAAAGATGAAAAGAAAGTGTTTGTTTCTGACCAAAGACAATCCTTAAGGAGAAAAAGTTTCAAATGATGAAACATCAGGCTGGTAAGGTGAAAGTGGACAGGAGTGCAGCTGTTCAAAGAAGCTTCCCAGGAGCACTAATCCCATCATAACTGCTGGAAAAGGCTGTGAAGAGACAGTAAAGAACCTGGCATTAGTTGTTTAAATGTCCCAGACAGTTCATTACTGTTGTTTAAATGTCCCAGACAGTTCATTACTGGAATCATGGAAACTCCAATAAAGGACTTTGCACATGGGAAGGCTTGTGCAAGAGATTATTTAATTGTGCAAGAGATTATTTCATTCAAGCATCTCATTCTTCCATTCATAAAATTCTTGTTCGTGTGAGCTATGCCAGCAATGCTGAAAAATCTGTTTATTTACTGGTGCTCAGGTGGATTTGTTGAATTGGGCTTTTTATTATCTGCAGGAATGAAATAAAGAGAAAAATATTTTTAATTGATCATGAAATTAATTGAAGGAGATGTCACATTCATAGGACAATTAGATTATACATTGTGATTAGCATAAGTAATTAGATGTTTTTCTGGGTGCTGGAAAGGGTAAAGAGATATAGAGGTAAGATTTTTTTATTACAAAGGTTTCTGCAAAGGAAAGAATGTAGCTTCTTCAAGAAAATGACAGTGTTCCTTTACTCAACATTACTCAATGTTTCTTTATGAAAAATGAAAGAGTGTACCATATTGCACAAGAGTGTACCATATTAAAAAATAGCAAAACTACAAAAGCCTGACTTCCTGAAACTGAAATTGCATTCTAGTTTTAATTATGCTCAATCACTGAGGTTGTAACTTGTTCAAAAGCATCTTTTGGTCTTAACTGCCAAAGAAATGCAAGCCCGGTTCACATCAAACTTCCTGCTCCAGATATGGGAAAAATCATGTATACCAGTGTCTGTACAGTTACTGAAATGTTAATGGTTGTGTTGGAATGTTTTTCTTGATGCTTTTTTTCCCTTTTTTTAACCTCAGGAATTTAAGAATAAAATTCTTTATCATTGTGAATGTTTGTCCCTTTTTTACCTTGTAGAGATAACATTGTGTGGAAGATAAATCTATAATTGTATCATCTACTTGGGGGTTTTATGAAATTTATGTTGTTCCATCCCCTCATTTCAAAGCTACAATTACCAATAGAAGGTTCAGAGCATCTCCAGAGTCCTGGCTTCATATTCAGAAGCTTCCCTCTAGGAGAGGCTCCAGCAAAGCCTAATCTGGAGTATGAGGAACCTGCAAAGAATGAGTTTTATGTATAGCCAGTACATGTGTAAGTGACCATACGTTGCTGTACCTCAGCCCTGCAGGGAACTGCTGCAGCCATTGAAAGTCTTTGTGTCCATCTCCAGTAATGCATTTTCATCCATCCTGGATAATATCCCCTCCCTTGGTGCTAGGGGAAAGGCTTTCCTAACCCTCCTTCTGCCTTATATTTCTGTGCCCCAAGAACAGGCCTTGGTACACACACAGGCTAGCATTTTTCTGTGGGGACCATGTGAAGCTGCTGCAAGGTTGTTTGTCATATCCTCTGCATTAGTCCTTGAAGTGTCACAGGGATGCTTTGAAGTCCAAATACAGTAATAATTCCTGTACTTTCACACCTTTCTGTCACTTCCCTGCTCTCTGGAAGAGGTGCTTCTATAAAGATGTCTCTGTTTTGGGCAGAGCAGGCACCAGGTAGGCACGTTTGCCTGCAGAGAGTGAAAGTTTCCTATGGCTCTCCCAGCTTCCTCCCCTTGTACCGCAAGCAGGCTGGTGCTGTGCTATGTGACTGCCTGCACCACGGTGACAGTGCAGCACTTGGGGCAGGGATGAGTCCAGCTGCTTCTTCTTCGAAGAAGAGCAACAGCATAGGAGACTACAGCCCAAAACTGGGAAGACCTGGGAAAAACTGGCCTCAAAGAGAAGGGAAAGGACCCAAGCTATGGAAGATCTCAGGCCTCTCCCAGGACTTCCAGCAACTGCTGGGTGCCCATCCTGCTAGAACTGTGCAGAAAACATGAGTAGAGTCCCCTGGGACTGCTCGTGGAGCAAGGGAGGCAATACCCTTTGCCTGTGAGGAAACCTCCCATCCTGGAAGAGAGCATGAGGTGAAGGTTGGGGACACCCTAGCCAGGCACAAGAGGGATTGTGGTGGGATAGATCCAAGTAAAATATCAGGGCAGAGGGACAGAGGAGCCCAAGAAGGGTTTGACTACAAGGAGCTGTGCTGCTGGTGGACAGAGGCCCCCAGCAGATGCAGGAGGAAGTAATGGCAGAAAACACCTCCATGACCAAGTCCCTGCTGTGTGCTGACCAACAAGAAGGGTTGCAGCCAGAGGGGTGCAGGGAGGCAGCTTCGCCCCATTTGTGTGGTGAGAGCAGCTTGGGGAGTCACCAGCAGCTGCTGGACCACAGGCAGCTGTGGTGGAACCAACCCCAAGAGGGAAAACCACCCCCAGGGAGGTTGGTCCCCAGCTTCCCCTGGCACAGTGATGGGAGTAGCCTGACTCAGGGCAGGATGTGCACGACCCAGGGACAATCCCGTCACCCCAAACTGCTGCAAATTCATTGCTGTTTCACCACCCTCAGCAGTTTCACCTGCTGATTGAGCATGAATGTTTCTCACTGCGTTTTCGGGACTAAAGAAGCTTTACTTTCTGTGAGATGGCCACAGAAAGTTCAGGTTCCTGGGGCTGGTGAGACGTAGTGCAGGGAAGAGGAGTTTGCAGCACCTAAGGTTTGCACACTTACTTGTTTGCATAACTAAAGGCCTCTTTGGTGGCCAGGAGAGCCCTCTGAGTAAGAGCCCTATCACCCCTAGCCTCAGGAAGGGGTAGTGGGACTGAGCGGCTGTGGGGAAGCATCTGCCCCCATTGTGGTCCCTCCTCCCCTGCCCCCAGAAATCTGCCCTACCTCCCCAGACTGCACCCCAGCCCTCACCTCAGGAGCCTAAACCTGCTCAGGTGCCTTCAGCGTTCTCAGCTGCAGCTTCCACACCACGAGGGTCAGATATTTGAAATAAACCCTCTTAGCAAAGTTCTCCTTTAGCCTCTTTTGAGAGGGGTAAATGCTGTGATTGCAAACAGGTTATGTGTATGGATCCAAAGTGGGAAGGATGTCTGGAAAAGAAACAACCAGTTCATCTCCTTGGTGTATGTGACAGTGCCTTTATTTAATTTTGGCTTCTGTCTGCTGAGCACAAATTACAAAAACCCCCCATACCCTTCTTATACATACAGTGAAAATTATATACATCTTTGACCATTTTTCTTTTTAAGGAAAAGGTAAAAAAAAAAAAAATCCTAATAAATGTACATGAAACGTGAACCCCATCTGCCTAGGTATACCCTATTAGCTAGAAAAGCAGCACCAATCTGTGCAGAAAGCTCTTGTTTATCAACATGCTTTAATGATAAATGCACAATGAAAACCCTTTTTCCCTCGAAGAGCTAAGCACCAGAAAGCAAACCAGGTTCCATGAGATTATTTAAAACAAAGCCTCCTGAGCAGTACATCCTGCAACTGAAGAGTGGGAGGTGCAGGCTGCGGTCAGGCAGGACAGGTGGGGCCATGTTCCTGTGAGAGGATGAGCAAGGGGGAACAGATAAATGATGCCCTGTGGGCCCAGGTTTTGAGGTGCACTGCAGCACACTGCTTCTGGGAATGGCAGCCTCCACAACCTGATGTCTCATTCCAAATTTCATCAGGTTTGACACTTAATTACTCCCTATCTTGCTGGTCCTAGGTTAAATATATTTTCCAAAGACATTGGTGCATAACTGGTGGTCAGCTGAACCATTGGTTTGGCTTTTGTGGTCTGGTTTATGACAGCTTTGCACTGTACAACAAATATCTCCAGCACAGACAACTCAATGTCTCCAAAGCCCTCAATTTGTTACTGTGAGGGTTGATGTGATTCCAGTATCAAAACAGGAGCCATCGTACCCAACATCACACAGCTAAAATACAGGAGAAAGACAGACCACATTCTGCAATGCCCACTTTATGTACATGAACAACTGGCTTTTCTCTGCAAGAAAAAACACCTATGCAGCCAAACAGAGTTGCATTTCCCCAGGCACAGAGAGCAGCATTTGTTCACTGCTACAAACCAGTGTCAGAGCTAAAGGCCATTCTCCTTTACACAGGACAGGATCTGGTGTAGGAATCTGGCAGGACTCCCAAGTCAGGCCACATTCATAGGGGAACCTGGTGTGACAGCAAATGAAAGCTGAAGCCCCTTCTGCTGCTTCCTATGGACAGAATGCTTCATCTGCCTCTGTTGCTTCCATAGCTGGGTTTATCACCTGCTGTAAGACTTGTTATTTCAGGTTGTGGTCTGAGCTGAAGATGGGCCAGCTGTCACGAAGATAGTTTTTGACATCTATCAGTTCTGTTTATAGCAATGGTTCCATTGGTTCCATTTTGCTCCCATCTGCCAAAGGTTTCCTGTTCTCTCAGCCAGCAACCCTCAGCTGAGTCCCACACGTCAAGGGCAGGCCTCCAACCCTTTCTGCCCCTCTGGGATAATCTTTGGGGTATACAAATGGTTTCCAAAGAGCTTGGTGCTTCTCTGGAGAGGAGAAGGTGAGGTCTAACTTACAGGATGACTTTGCAAGGAGGGGACATAACAGAGGAGGTCCAGTGTGTGTTGAGGATCAGGGAGTTCCTGACCCGCCGCCCCCCCAGCATGGCAAAGGACCAGTTTGAGCTGTGCTCCTGGCTGTCACAGGCAGAGGAGGGCTCCTGGCCCCTGCTCCAGCAGCAGCCACAGCTTTGCATCATCCTGCCCAGCGCCATCCTGAACCGCTCACCAGCAAAGACATAGAGGAAGGGGTTGAGGCAGCTGTGGAGGAAGGCGATGATCTGGGTGACCTGCAGCCCGATGTCCAGCTGGTTGGCAGCCTGACAACCGTGCACCACCCCCGTGTAAGTGTTGATGGCTTTGACCAGCAAAACAATATTGTACGGGAACTGAGAGAGGAGGAAAGCTGTAAGAATCATGGTGATGATCTTCAGTGACTTCTGCTTTTGAAATCTTTTGGCCTGTAGGAGGGTGTTGATGATAAGGGCATAACAAATCACCATGACAATGAGCGGAAGGAAGAATCCTATGATGACTTTCAAGGCCAGGACCATAACTCTGAAGATCACACTGACATTTGGTGGGTACATAATTTTGCAAACTGTTACGTCACCCACCTGTGTGCTCTGGCTGTAAATGAGTTCTGGGATGCACAGGCTCACAGATGTCAGCCAGACAGCCAGGCACATGAGCCTGCTGCGCAGGAGCCACCTTTGCCTACAATTTTTAGCTTTCATAGCTTGGACTACAGTGATGTACCTGTCAAAGCTGATGCAGGTTAGAAGCAAGCTGCAGCCATAGAAGTTGATCTTATACATGCTGTTGACAACTTTGCACATGAAGTCCTTAAAGATCCATCCATCAGAAGCAGCCTTGGCCCAGAAGGGGAAGGTGAAAAGGAGCAGGAGGTCTGCGATGGCCAGGTGCAACAGGTACAGATCCATCATGCTCCTCCTGAAGTGGTATTTGCAATAGACAAGGATGACCAAGGTGTTGCCCACTGTGCCCACAGCGAAGATGAGCCAGAAAAACACTGGCAGAAAGGCTTGAGCAAACTGCCTGACCTGCCTCTTGTCACACATGAAGTCTGTGCTGTTCACTGGGTTCTCACACAGGGATAGCACCATGCTGTCATTCCTGTAGTAATCCAGGCTACTCTTGCCAGGATGTGTGACCTGCAATAGGACATCTAGTAAATTTGTGTTGAGAAGCTCAGTAAAGCATACATTTGCCCCTCTCCACCAGATGCAATTGAAGATGCTTAATGTATTCCATTTAAATGAGAAAGTGCAAAGGATACCAGTGAAACAGGTCATTTCTGACTTCTTGGAGTGTGCAGCACAGCAGAGATTTTAAAAAATGACCCATTGAGTGAAAAACTCAAAAGAGCAGTTCAAAAGAGCAGTTCACGACATCCAGCCAACTTCAGTTATTAAAATGGCAGGTGGTGAAAGCATTATGTCTGTCAGATAATTCAAACAATAGTTTACTTGGCTTCAAACATATAATAAAAGGCAAATTGTCCAACTTGGAAAGAGGTGAAGAAGTCTTTGTGTTACTGCTACATTGGGACGGACCAGTGGCTCAAAAGAGGCAGAAAACTGATAGAGACAAAGAGGGGGGGAAGGAAAAGGGGACGAACAGTGACATAGCTCTATACTCACAACACTTGCAGCTGCCATCTTCAGCCAGATTGCTCCTCAGTCCTGAAAGAAGCTCTGTATCCTGGACGGGAAAGATGGGGGAAAACAACTGATTTGAAACAACTCTGAAGCAGGACTGTGACTCTCTTCCTTATACTTCTTCTTCTTCTACCTTTAATAAAAACCTCAGCTCTTTGAAACAACTCTGGCCGGAAGAAGAACAAACCACACAGAAATTGATAATGCTGATTTGAATTATTTACTTATTTTCATTTTACAAATTTACATTTAGCTTACATTGGGTCTTCAGCTTCTCTATGTCACTGTGCTTATTAAGTCTTTGGATGCACTACAGTCACTGCAATCTCATTTTTAACAAGCTGTAGGCTTCCCAGTGTGCACATGTAAAAAGTAATCTAAAAGTACTGTATCTTGCAAAAGATTGATGAGAAAAAATGAAATTTTCATCTTAAATTACCTAGCAACTAAGAAGGGAAAGTACCTGGCTTTAGTAGTACTTTGCAATCTTAAATATTTGCATCCTCTGCAGCAAGTGATTAATCTCTACCTGCAACTTCTCTTTCTTATCTGTGAGTTTAGGCACAGTGCTCATTGCTGTTGGCTTGCAAAGCTGATCATTAAGCCCCAGTAAGCAAAAAAATATTGGGCTTTTTCTGCTGTAGATTGCTTTTCTAGTCAGTTCACCATCACAAAAGGTAGCTGAGCCTGGTGGGCTCGATGTAAGGAAAATGCACGTAAGTATTCCACATGTTCTGCACCAGCTTGTCCAGAATAATGCCTGGGGACAAAGCCTGGTGACAACACAAGGTGAGTCAGTGCTACTGGGGACCTTAAACTAGCACAGACCCCTTCAAAAGCAGCTCACGTAACTGAGAGGTTACTTTGCAGAAACCACAGCAGAAGCAGATGGAGCCAAACCTCCTCCATGGGGAAATGGCCCATGTTCATGCTCTGACTTCCCTCTTGTTGTGGGCTGACTAAAAGTACCTGTGGCTATGGCTGGCACAAGTCAGTGGACTCCTGATTTGTCCCCAGAACTCACTTCTAACATGTCATTGAAGCATCTGGTGAAGGGTGCAGAGCTCTGTATCCCCAGGGACCTTTTTTATGTTATTTTCTTCTAGCTGTCAGACCTATCTGAAATTGCAAACAGAAAGATCATTGTAACTGGGTCACTTTGGTGGGGGGAAAAAAAAATAGGTGATTTGTAATTTAGTTCCTTTTTCATGGAGGCTGCTCATGGGAAAGAGAGACATGAATAGTGGAGGAGTGAGGGGACAGTTGCTGCAGGGGGGTCAGCCTGGATGTGGCACCCAGGAGTCACTCTGCATGTGATGTTTGCTATTTACACCTACAATTAACCTTTTTGTAGGCTGAGCTGAGTGTGTACTCCTGGGGCCTCAGCCTGATTAGACCTGTCACAGACTGCTTACTCTGCGGTTTTCATGTTTTAGGTGGCTCAAACACATGTGGTAATCTTCTCTTTCTTTCTTTTTTTTTTTTTTTTTTTTTTTTCCTGGTAAGCTGTTTTGATACCAAAAGGACCATGTCCCATACCATCAATTTTCTGCTCATGCACATCATCTAGCACAGGGCAAATCAGATGTTGCTCTTAGGCTGTGTCCTGCTGCAAAACACTTTCACTGGGGAGAAAAAGTACCCCTGAACAAGAACTGAATTCTTCTGTCTTTTTGGGAGGCTGGGACAGGAATGAGGAGCCAGGTCTAGTCCTGCCCTCTCCAGGTTGACCCAAGGTCACAGCTTCCCACTGCTGCCTGCCAAGGCTGCCAGCAGGCAGGACTCAAGATTGCAGGGTCTGTCTCATGATCTGCAACACCAGGTGCTTGGCAACAGCAAAAGGGAGCAAACCAAAAGTACACCACCTTCAAGAGGAAAGGCCAGGCTATTCCTACTGCAGAAAGTGGGGAGACCCAGGGCAGGAGGGCAGGCAGTCCCATGAAGTCCCTACTGGTGGCACATCTTTATGTGACAACCATCCAGAAGAGTGTGGCAGGGAAGACTTTGAAAAGGCAGTGAGAAGTGGTTAATAAAAGTATGAACTTGCACATCTTATGTCTTCTTTCTGGTAAGCTGGCATGCAAATGATGCTGATTTAAGTTCCTCTCTCTGCAGGAAGTCTGAGCACCATGAGGTTTTGCTTTAATCATGGTGTTCAGCTGTGACCAATGCTCATTTGACTCAGACTTCAAGGAAATTTCCAAATTGCAGTTCAGGCTCGGTTCCAGTTACGGAGAAAACAGTGATTCTGGCTAGGTTTTGGGTTGGGCTCTGCTGTTACTTGGCATCATGCTCATGTCAGCAGCAAAGCATCTCCTTCCAAGATGAAGGAGCCCAGGATGTTTCACTGCAAAATCTCCCCCAAGGTGTCTGCATATCTCTAATAATTGGTTGTTATCTTGAAACTCCTCATGAAACAGGAATAGATGTGTATAATGATACCACTGTACAGGACTTGGCCTCTTCTACCTCGTGGGCCATCCTGTAGAAAAGCAGAAGAGGGGGAGTAGATCTCAGCCAAACCCAGGGCACCTGCTAAGGAAAGCACATGTGAAAGCACAGGCATGGTCTCTGGAATTAGGGATGAGTTACTCTGAGCTTGCAAATGGCTGCCTGGCGGTGGATCCATGGCAATTATCCTTAATTCAAGCTAGTTTGGCCCTTGGTATAATGCAAGCTGATTCAGCATTGGGAGAGCTACATTAACTGCAGTAGAGTAAAGGCATGCCCATGAGCAAAGCCTCTGATGCAAAGGATCTTCACATCCTTTGGTCTCTCCTTCATGAATCTGAACCCTCACGTTCAGGATTTAAGTGACTTTAATCAGACTTAGTTTAATTCTCCCTGGAAGCAAAGTAATAAGTATAATTTAACCCACCACTTTACAGAGCCAGTCCCACTGTACTAAAAGCCCCCAGGGTAGATAAACCTCCAGACCAGAACACAGGCAGCTGCTCATCCTGTTCATCACTTTTCTGCCACACAACATTTGTTAAGCGACTATTGCTGACAACAGCTGCTTTTTTTGCCCCCAATCCGAACTGAAGCAGAAAAGTGTGCATGTTAGCTCCTCTTCCCAAATTTCTGCCAAACTGGTTCCTGACTTGTATGCACACTCAATGCCATCCATAGTTAAATCCTTTCAAGCAAAACCAGAGACAAGGCAGTCAGTTCTTGCAGTATCAGCATGCATTGTGAGATAACTTGTGATTTCCCTTCAGCTCATATTGATGCAAAACTAAGAATCTCTGTTTTCCTTACAAATATATTGCTTTCATGTTCATCAAGAGAACTTGCAAGTGAAACACTGTTTTTTGTTTTGTTTAAAGTGAGAAAACTAAAGCCACCAACATTTCTTCTGTCTTCTTTTTAACTTTGAGGTGCATAAGCATAATTTGGGGATAATTTTTAAAGCTCTTCATTTATTGCAGGTACTATAGGCAGAGAAGTACTTCATTTAACATTAGTTTTTACTTAGCTGGAAAGATTTTGCAGAAACAAAACAAAACTTAGGGTTATATCCTCTTCTGAGCCTGACCATGAAGTTTCCTTTTTTCACAGTGAAAACTGCACCATGTTTGCAGTAAATCTATCTTTTAACATGCCTATTTTCCTTTCCTTGGGTAAAAAGAGGACATTAAGCTGCTTCATTCCAAGCAGGCTGCTTGAGAGGTTCAGTAACTCCTCAGATGATCCATTAAGGTTGTGGCTGCAGCTCACGGTACTCTATGAGGAGGATATTTGCAGTCAGTGAGATCAGTGCCTCTGATTGCAATTCCAGACAGGTTACTCGCTTATGTAGATTACCCATAGGGGTCCCTGGGGATTTCCATAAATAGGAAACAAAAGGGTCTTCTTGTTCCAGCATGGGTCCACAGTCATTAAACTTTTCCTTCTCTTCAGAAAGGTGGAGAGTTAAAGGAAAAAAACAGCTTGAAAACTCTCTGAATGGTCCTGGCAATTAGAACATCCATCACAAAAATGCATCAGCCCAGGCCTGCACAGAAAAACTCCTAAAAATAGCTGAAATAACAGTTTTGGCTATAAGGATCAGTTGCAAGCACAGAGCTTGAAGGGAAAAAAGGATTATTTATGTTACCCTAAGTGCAGCAACACTTTTCCTCCACAAAAATAGGACAGGTTCAAAGTCTAGGTACTGAAGATACATAGTTATCAAGTTTCTACCACAAATATATATATATACATATTTCTGTGAATCCAGTTCCTGTTTGCTTGCATGGACTGTTTTAGCAATTCCTGTAAAGAGCCATGTCACCAGCAGCTCCTTTTACAGGGCACTTGGCAAGTGGGGACAGACAAACCAGACCCTAAAGGCTGGTGTTAAAGATTCTCATTTCTGTCAGGTCTTCATATTCCTGTGCTGTGTATTCTTAATTAAATTGGGAGCTGCCTGTGTCTGCTTGCCTAGTTTGGAGTACCCATTTTAGAGTAAACATCCTTTTGGCTGCATCTGTTCCTGAGAGATAGAAAAACTACAGATCTCAGGTCCAACTACTATTTTAGAAGAACCAATGGCTTTGTAACTCATGCTGCAGGCTGGCTCGTACTTTTAACTCCCGAGTTAACTCCCTGCAGAGGTGTGCTGGGCAAAGGGATAAAATGAGGCTCACCAGGGATGAGCAAAGGAATGGCACACCAAAGATTGAGAGACCGTGCGCCAGTGAGATCCTAGCTGGCTACACGAGGCACTGGGTATAAGGAACTGCATTTGAAGTGCTTCTACACACAGCATGAGGAACAAGCAAGAGGAGCTTAGAAGCCTTGGCTCAGCCCCAGAGATGCACAGTCACTGGCATAAGTGAGCCTCCAGGTAAGGATTAAAGGACAAACAAATAAAGCGTCTGTGATTGTGGGAGTCTACTATAGGCCACCCAGCCAGGATGGCAACACCAACAAATTAGTCTTTAAGCAATTAAGTACTTGTAAATCAAAATAGCTGATAACAGGTCCATAGGATTCCTGAAACACCTCTTGGTACAGGTACTATGAGAACTGACTGGGAAAGGTGCCCTCCTTGATTTGTTGCTTGTTAACAGAGAGGGACTTGTGGGCAAAGTGATGATTTGTGACTTTCTTGAGTGATGATTTGCGGCTTTCTTGGCCACTGCAACCATGAGGCAATCAAGTTTAAAATCTCTGCTGACAGGAGGCAAACTGCCAGCAAAACTTCAACTCTGGATATGAAGTGAGCAAAATTCAGGCCGCTCTGGGAACTAGTTAGTGAGGTCCCCTGGGAAAATGCCTCTTTCTGCCTTTCTGCCCAGCCAAGGTGGCAGAGGCTGTGGCTGTTCTGTCATTCCTCTGGGGAGCTGGGGCAAGTCCTTGGCTTTGGACCAGCCGGAATGTGTGTGGGGCTGTAGATGATGGTCCAAAACCACTCATTTACCACTGGAGGTAAAGGCCAGAATCAGCTTTCTGTCCTGGCACCTATTGCGTGGGAGCAATCCTTGGAGACGTACTCAGCATTGGCGGCCGTCTCTTGATTTCAGCGCAGCGCTCCCGAAAGAGGATGACAGTGCTTTAACATGGGAAGGAGAGCTCACAGGCCCAGTGCTTCCCGTCAGGACGATGGGCTGCCCAGGGGAGGTAAAAGTCAGCAAGACCTTTCCATCTTGGAAACTTCTGTATGGGAGAAATGCTTGGATGCATTCAGCATCGGAGGTTGTATCCCAAAGTCTCCAGTGAGTTCCTGACTCTGCACGGCAGTGCTTACACACGGCAAGCAGCGCACCCAGCCGCAGGGCCTCAGGAGCACCCGACGGGCTGCCAGGGGGTGTCCCGGGAGGGAAGGGCAGGAGGAGGCCGGGCTCGGAGGGGTGGAGCGCCGCTGCCGGGTGCCGGTGCGGAGGGAGTAGGAGGAGGAGGAGGGATGCCCGTCCTGCGCCGGCCGTTTCCCGGCGGAGCCGTCAGCTGACGCCGCCGTTTCCTGGCTGCCGCCCGCCATGCTGCGGCTCCTGCTCCCGCTGGCCGCCCTGGCCGCGCTCCTCCGGGCGGCGGTGAGTGCCCGCCTCGCCTCCCCCTCCGCCAGGGACGCCCGGGGCAGCGGGGGCCGGCTCTGAGGGGCGCGGGGGCCGGCGTGGCGGAGGGAGGGCTGGCAGGGGCCTCCTGTCGCCGCTGGAGGAAGGCGCTTCGCCTCGGTCCTTTTTTAAAGCATGAGCAATTTAGGGCTAGTGGGCGGCGCACGGGGCGCGGGTGCCGGGCTTGTGGCTGCGCCGAGGGGGAGAGCCCGGAGCCGGGGCAGGGAGGGGTCGGTGCCCTTCTCCCGAGCAGGCCGGCCGCTCCCGGCCCGCTGGAGGTGTGGAAGGGCTGGCGGTGCCGCCTAACGGGGGTGGTGGCCGGCGTGGCCGCCCGGCCGCAGCGGTGCTGCCGGCGCCGGGGCTCCCTGCGCGCCCGGGAATCGCGGAGGCCTCGCTGAGCAACCCGGAGCCGTGGGGGAACCGGTACGGACACTGCTGGTAGATCCCGTGGGAAAACATGCTCGTCCTGTGGTGTGTGAGAGGAGGGAAAGAGGTTTTTCCTGTTCTCCACAGATTCTGTTGTAGCTGCCTTGTCCCGGGGCACACAATACCACAGCCTAAGGATGAATCCTCATGCTCCGCAGTTCTCGTGGTTTATGCCTCGAGTTGAAGGCAGAGTGATGCTATGACCGTGGTAGATGTTGTGGTTGGATGGGGCACGGGTGGTTAAAGATGTATGAAAAATAGAACAACATCACGTGAGACCGTATGGAAGGGAAGATTGGGTCACAGTTAGTGTGTGCTTTCTTAGGGGTGAGGTTGTTGCTGAGTCTTCCAAAATTTTGAAGGTGGCAGGCAGGAACAAATACTCTTCAAACTTGGTAGTATTAGCACTTTTGGGGGATTTAATAGGTTCGTTTCAAGCAGATAAAATATTGTAAAAATACATAGTTTTGAGAATTTTCTGCCATGGGTGGTTGTAGAACCAGACAGTACTCAACAGATTAAAAAAATGGATTTGTCACATTTAAATACATCAGGCTCACAAGCAACATCCAAGACTTTCCAACATCCGTTTTTAACAAGAAATGACTGTGCAAGGATTTTGCCCTCTAACATCCCTAGTGTAGCAGCTGGGTCAGCTGAAGGAGTATGAAGGAGCAGACCACAGACTGTGGCCAGGGTCCTGTCATTTCCTTAAACAGCATTTCTAACTGCTGTTGTCCAGACAGAGTATTGCATGGTGCCTGGAGGACCTATGGACTTGAATCAGTAGGGCATTTCTTGTGCTCTTATCTTCCTAGCTCTGTGTGTTTCCTGTAGAGACATATGTGCAAAATAGCACTATTTCTTAAGAGTAGTTTAGTAACAACTGAGAGGGTTTGAGGAGCTGAGGCTGGCAGGCATAATTTCCCTTATCAGCCCACCGTTCCCTGACACAAGCAGTGAGGGAAGGGTTTTTTTTGAAACTTGGTCTAGTCCTCAGAGTAGATCAGGGTCTTGTCATCACAGGTGTGCTAATGTTATTTTAAATTAGCTTGAGAGGACATATGCAGCAGATAAGTAACCAGGCAAACTGGGGTTTGCAGACTTCTGGGCTTAGGCTCACTGCTGAGCCCTACAATGCTGCTTTTGTGCCCTAGTTCTGGGATATTTTTGGCTGTAATGATCGCTTGCTTTCTCTAAGTGTGGATTGAGAGACAGGAAGTGTTTTGAAAATAATTGTGCTGTTATGGGACTATTATGTCAGACACAGTTTCTGTTGTATGTTATGAAAGACTACCCAAATTTTTTTCATCTATGATTAAGATAAAACAATAGGTTTCTTCTAAATAGAAATGTGCAACCTGAGCATTAATAGAAATACCATGATTGAGCAAAATACAGAGCAAACCAGGGAATTCTGCTACCATTGAAACATAACTGGTGCTTGCTTGTTTGTTTCCAGTCTGTGAGCAGTCATGCATTAGTTTCTGTGCTCCCCTCTAAAGGAGCAGGGTGTAGTATTTTAATCTCTTTTCAGCTTGGTTGCATCCTGTTAGACCAGGATATACTAGAACAGGTGTTGAGTCTTGGAAAACTACATGTAGTGGAAGTGAGCTGGAAGTGAGTAGCAAGACACAGTGTGAGTTTCACTGATCCTACTGATTTGCAGGGCTTTGGAGAAATCTGATTCACAACAGCAGACAAGGATATCTGCTGATCATCTGCAGTTTCTGGGACCACAGTTGCACCTGTTGCAGTGGGGATTTCACTGCTGCTGTAGCATGTGTTAGTAGAAACTCTTGCATTTGGTAAGAATGATGTAGGGCGATGCCTGCTTTTCAGATGGAGCCAACTGCTTGGCAAGAAGAACAGAAATCATGTATTAAGTTAATATCAGAAGCAACTTAGTCCCAGAACATGTGTGGGATTTACAAATGCTATAATGGTTTTTCCCAGGACTCATTGCATCACTGTTGTGATACATTGTGATGTATTGCCATCTACCATTAGGAAGTCTTGATGAGAAAAAAGTGTTTAAAAGAAGAGGGGGTGTTGGGGAGAAATGATTGAGGGAGGCAGACAAGGAGTTTGGAAGGGGACTTCCAGCATCCAGTCTTTTCTGTTGTCTGTTTACTCCACTTCATCACAATGACGTAAAGGACATCTCCTTTATGTCATTGTGACAGTGATTCTGCATGACCCAGTATCTTGTGTATTATGTAGAGTAACAGTCTTTTATTGCAGTTTGGGAAAAAGGGAATGTGTGTAATATTTTAAAGCGGCTCATACTGGTTCCTGGTTGCAGGCTTTGTTGACCCAAGGCATCCCTTCATAACCACATTATTGACTTCTGGAGACTTCTGCAGAACAGAAGGGAACAGTCAGGAAGCAAAGATGATCTCCTTCAAGCAACTGCCCATTGAAGCCAAGGCTGCAGTGGCTGCAGGAGTGGTTTTCTTCTCCATGATGCTATCACGGAGTTACCTGGCGGAAAAACTTGATTTCAGGACGCGGCGCTGGCTTCTAAGGCTGCAAATGGCACTATTTGCTAATACCCTCATGTTGACGGGATCTCTTCATGTTTGGAGAAGCACAGTCACCACGTTCACCAGGTCTTCAGCTGCCAGCTCCTTCTGTTTCATGCTGTGGAAATTAGCTGTGTTCATATTTCTAGCTTTGGCTCATTCAAGCTTCTTTACATTGCTATTTCTTGTTGCAGAAGAGCCCTATTTCTTTTCTTTAGCTGCCTACACTTGCTTGGGAGCCTATATTATTCTGATCTTTTTCCTCTTCACTCTAGGCACTGTAGAGCAGGCTTACAAGCTCTTGGCTGGGAGAGGCGCTAAGGCAGGCACTGGCAACAAGAACAGAACAGCACTGAAACCAGTTCTGGCAGTCTTGCTGACTGTTGTGCTGACTGTTGTTGGGCTGTTAAATGCTTCCCAGCCCCCTACGGTGAATTCAGTGGAGATTCCAGTTCACAAGCTGCCCTCAACAATGAACAACCTGAAAGTGGTGTTGCTTTCAGATATCCATCTGGGGCCTACAGTTGGGAAGACCAAGCTTGCCATGATAGTGAGAATGGTTAAGGCTTTAAAACCAGATATCACCGTGATTGTTGGGGATCTATCTGATGCTGAGGCAAAGATCATACGACCTGCTGTTGAGCCTCTTGGAAAACTTGATTCCCCTTTGGGCACTTACTTTGTGACAGGAAACCATGAGTACTACACCTCAGATGTTAGCAACTGGTTTGAGCTGTTAAAATCATTTAACATTCAGCCATTGCATAACGAGAACGTGAAGATTGTTTCACCAAAGAGCGCTTCTGACTGGTTCTGCCTGGCTGGCGTGGATGATATTGAAGCAGATGTGTTGCGCTATTCGGGACATGGCATGGATTTGAAAAAAGCTCTCAGAGGTTGTAGCAGTGAGCATGCAATAGTGCTCTTAGCTCATCAGCCAATTGCTGCAAAGTGGGCCCTTCAGGAGAGACCAGACATAAATTTAATTCTCTCTGGCCATACTCATGGGGGGCAGATTTTCCCTCTAAATGCTGGAGCTTATCTTCTGAATCCATTCTTTGTTGGCTTGTACCAAGTTGGGCAGAATACCTTTGTCTACGTCAGCCCGGGAACGATGTACTATGGAATACCCATGAGGCTGGGCAGCAGAGCTGAAATAACAGAGATTATTCTACGTTCTCCTTGAGGAGTTTTCTGTTTGACAGACTTCTAATTGTTTTTTTTTCTTGGCCAGTATATTGGCTCTTCTACTATGAAAGCAAATCCTTTTTCAGGGAAGCCAGAGAAGATGTGTTGGGCTGAACTTCAGCAGGTTCTGTTAAGTTTGAGCAGAAAACACTAACTGTATCTTGGGCCTATGAAACAAATTTGGGACATGTTAAATTACTGAAGTAATTACGTCTTTGAGTTCATTATTGTTGAGGTTCTGCATTTAATGATAACACTGATGTCACAGAGATAATGTGTCCTGTGCATGTTTAGTAATACCTGTGTCCTGCAGCTACTTCATGTTCCACTGTTTGGTGTCCATCAGGCAGCTGCCTTATCACATCTCAGGCAGAAGAAGTTCTGAGCTTGTGCAGTGAAGTCACGTATGCATGCTTTGCAGAAAGGCCTGCAAGTGTGTGCACTGAGTATGTAAACTCTAGGAGGCTTGGGAAACGAAGAGTTTAATAGTTTAGTGTTTGGTTTTTTTTTTAATTGAGGCTGGATATTTTCATCCTGCTAGCTGTCTGCAGCATGCACCAGGGCTTCAAGTCTGTGCTTACTAGTACTATAAGTTGCCAGGCATCAGTTCTGAAATTCAGTTTTGTCCAGTTAAAAAAGTTGGTGAGACTGACACCAAAAGGTAAAAGTAGCTGTCTTTCTCAGGCATTTTCCCTGGAATAGTTGGGCATCAAGTAATTGTTTACTGAAAATAGCTCTAATAAAAGCAAATGAGGAAAATTCCAAAATTAACTTCTGTTGCTGTCTGA